GAGAGAGAGCTGGTGAATTTCCAATATTTAATGTAGAAAAACTGAAAAATGGAGAAACAGAGTGTCACTTGTGGTCTGTAACTACCTTAACATTTTAGTATATGGGGCGCCTGGGTGGCAGAGTCAGTTAAGGGTCTGACTCTTGATTTCGGCTCGGGTGGTGATCTCAAGGTGGTAGGATGGAGCCCTGCATCGTGCTCCATGGCCCAAGTCGAGCTCCACACTAAGCATGGAATCTGCCTAAGACTCTCTCTCCTTCTCCTCCTCCCCCTCAACGCACTCTCTCTCTAAAATAAATTTTAAAAAATCCTTCAAAAAGACTATTTTAGGGGCACCTGGGCAGCCCAGTCAGTAAGCGTCCGACTCTTGATTCCGCTCAGGTCATGAGCTCAGGGTCGTGAGATGGTGCGGGGCTTTGCACTCAGTGTGGAGCTTCCTTAAGATTCTTCCTCCCTCTCCCTCTGCCCTTCCCCCAACTCATGTACTCTCCCCTTCTCTCTAAAATAAAATTTAAAAATCTTTAAAAAAAAAAGTAAAGAAAAAGAAGATTTTAATGTCTATCCTTCCACTTTTCTATGTGTATACTATTTGCCAAAAACTGAATTGAGCTGTACGATTTTTTTTCACTTAATAACACTCACGTATTTTTCTCCATGTCATTAAATAGTCTTTGAAAACATGATGTATAGTGGCTAATGATATTCTCTTCTATGGATGTACCATATTTATTTAGCCAATTTCTAATTATCAGACATTTAATATGTTTCCAAAATTTTTTGCTATTGTGAGCAATGCTGCATAGAAGAGAGTTATAGATGAATCTTGGCACATGTTTATAATTATTTTCATTGGGTGAATCCAACTGTGGAATTAGTAACCTGATCTTTAAATTCACCCTTTCCCAGTCTGTGAACCCTGAAGGTCTTCCGTCTTACTTTCTCATTTGAGTGAGTTTGGGACAAGAAGCTAAGTACATCTAAAGTGACAAAAGCTCAACGTTCCATGATGATATTTCCTAAAAGAGTCTAATAAACTAACAATAGGTTTTCTAGGAAACTAGGTAGATGTGGTTAAAAGAGTAAATTTTTTTTTAAGATTTTATTTACTTATTTGACAGAGAGAGAGAAAGCTGGCAGAGAGAGAGGGAGAAGCAGGCTCGCCTGAGCGGGGAGCCCAATGCAAGACCCGATCTCAGGACCCTGGCATCATAACCTGAGCTGAAATCAGACACTTATGACTGAGCCACCTAGGCGCCCCACGAGTAAAATATTTTATTGCTGTTTAAAGAAAATCAAAAATAACTCAAAATGTGTCAGAGACCTAAATGTAAGAGCTAAAATCATATAACTTTTTTTTAAGATTTTATTTATTTATTTTTTGAAAGACAAAGATCACAAGTAGGCAGAGAGGCAGGCAGAGAGAGAGAGGAGGAAGCAGGCTCCCCACTGAGCAGAGAACCTGATGTGGGCATGACCTGAGCTGAAGGCAGAGGCTTTAACCCACTGAGCCACCCAGGTGCTCCCCTAAAATCATATAACTCTTATAAGAAAATACAAGTAACCCTTCATGACCTTGCATTAGGCAATAGTTTCCTACATATGATGCTGAAAATTTTAAGCAACAAAAGAAAAACAGATCAATTTTGGACATTATCAAAATATACACATTTTGCGCTAGAAAAGACCCTATCCAGAAAGTGAAAAGAAAACACCTAGAATGGAAGAAACTATTTGCAAATCTTGTATCTGATAAGAGACTAGTAACCAGAATATATAAAAAATAATTATAGGACACCTGTTGTTCAGTCCGTTGAGCTGAGCATCTGCCTTCAAGTCAGGTCATGACCCCAGGGGTCCTGGGATCGATCCCCACATCGAGCTCCCCTCCAACACACACTGGGCTCCCTACTCAGCAGGGAGCCTGCTTCTCTCCCTCCCTTTGCCTGCCACTCCCCCTTGCTTGTGCTCTCTCTCTGTCAAATGAATAAACAAAAAAACTTAAAAAAAAAAAATTACACCAGAACAATAGAAAGACAAATCAGTTAAAATGGGAAAGAATTTGAATAGATGTTTCTACGTTGAAGATATACAAATAGCCAATATGCACACGAAAAGACGTTCAACATTAGTCATTAAGGCAACGCAATCAAAACCACCGTGAGATACCACTTCACACACAGTAGGGTGGTTATAATAATTAAAAAAAAAAAAGACAAAAACAGGGATGTGGAGAGATTGGTACCCTTATACGCTACTGGTGGGAATGTAAAGTGCTCCAGCCCCTTTGAAAACCAATCTAGCGGTCCTCCAAGAGTTGAACCTGGAGTTACTATGTGATCCACTAAGTCCACTGGACTTACATATACCTGAGAACCGAAAACATACATCCACACAGAAACTTACATGAATACTCAGAGCAGCATAATTCACAAAGGCCAAAAAGTAGAAACAATCCAAATTTTCATCAGCGGATGAACAGATAAACACAACGCACTATATCCTATACAAGGGAATCTTATCCAGGCATAAAATCAAATGAAGTACTTATGTATTCTTCAACATGGATGAAACTTGAAAGCATTATGCTTAGTGGAAGAAATCAGATACAAAAGGAAATGTACTGTAGGACATGAAATAATATATCCAGAATAGATAAAGGTATAGAGATAGAAAGCAGATTTGTGTTTGCTCAGGGGCTGGGGAAGGGGAGAATAGGGAACGATGGCTAAAGGGTACAGAGGTTCTTTTTAGGTAGATGAAATGTTCTGAAATTAGATTGTGGTGATGTGCACAGCTGTGAATATATATTCAGTGACTTGTACACTTTAAAGGATCGTTTTATAAAAGATGAATTATATCTCAATGAAAAAAAGAAATGGAGATCTGGAATATGTCTGGAGTATGTGATGAGATGTCACAAACAACCTTCTGATTGTTAACTGGGTGTGTCAACTTGGCCGCTAAGGGATATCCAGAGAACCACTAAGTTATTTCCGGCTATGTCTGTAAGGATGTTTCTGGAAGGGATTAGCATTTAATTCAGTATACTGAGTAAAGAAAATCTGCCCTTGCCAATGGCAACATCTAACCCATTAACAGTCAGGAAGAATAAAACAGGAAGAAGGGCAAATTCTCTTTTTGAACTGGGTTGGTCATCTTCTTCTACCTTAGGACATTAAAGCTCCTGGTTCTCTGGGCCTTTGGACTGCAGGACTTACATCAGCAGCCCCTACTCCCTACTCCATCTCTCTCCCCATCCCCCAGCCACCCTCTTATTGTGTATGCACTGGAGAATCTTGAAGGTTTCAAAGGAGGGAAGTGACAAAGCTGTTAGGGAGATTCTTCAGGATGCCAGGTATGAAGGAATCATAGAATTAAGAGGCTAGAGGCAAGATTAGTGAGAAAGCTATTACCACAGTTCAATGGAGAGATAATGAAAGCTGGGGGAATTGTAATGATGGAGATAGATGGAAAAGACATTCTGGGTACAGAACCAAACGATTTGGAAACTAGCTAAAGAAACATAGGAGTGGGTGGGTCAGGGCAAAATGATATTCTGGAGGGGCTGTTGACTTAAAGTGGAGACACGGGCAGAAAAGCAGATTTGGAATGAAGCTTTTGTTTATATTTGGAGTATACTGAGTTTGAGGTGCCAAAAGGAAATGAAGTGGAAACATTTCCCAGGAAGTTGCAGGGTGAGATTTGAAATTGAAGAGTCTAGACTAGAAATATCCTACGAGTTAGCAGCATAGGAGTAGTAGTTGAAGCTACAAGGTTGTCAAAAAAGAACGTATAAAGAAAGGCATGATCGTTGTGCATATCCACATCTACAGATCTGGAGGAGAAAGATACTAAGACTTGGTCAAGGAAGTCCTTGATCAAACTCTAGGGTGGGGTAGCCTGGAGAAGTAGGAAAGGGACAATGACCCCATAGAATCTATGGACTACTAGTTTGGTAACTTTGGTGCAAGTCCCCCTTGGATCTTGTAGATTTGGCAGAATGATTAAGGTGAATCCAGATAGCAAGGAAGTATGGAGTAAGTAGATGAAAGGAGAAAGAATATAGAGTATAGAGTAGTCATATGTAAGACAGTGACTCGAAAGAGAGGGACTTTATTTGATGGGGAGTCAGAGCCTGTTTTTGAACTGTAGGGTCAAAAACCAGAGAGAGAGATTAAAGATGCAAGACAGTTGAAATAATGCTCAGGAGCTATGCTAGAAGAGGCATGAGGAAAGGGATGGGAATCCTAGGTTTGGGGCAAGAAGTCCTTACCAAATAATGAAGAAAAGATGTTTCTCGTATCATCATTTAAAGAGGGAAAAATTGTAACTTAAATATGATAGAAAGCATAGATATAGACATGACTACGTGAATGAAAAGAAAGAACAGTGTTAAATGTTATGACATTTATGTTTCAAATAAATACATTAAGGATGTTTATATATTAAACAAACTGGACCCTTTTACAATACATAATTTTTATTTCATTTTTTAAGTCACAAGTTGTGCTTTGTATACAAAGAAACAAGTAATATCATTGTATTGGGAAAAGTTTTCAATTAGCAATAATCGCGCCTCGGATAAACCTCATTGGCTACGATACTGCCACTGCGCAAAGCTGAAACAAGTAATATCATTGTATTGATTTAAAACTCCTGACACGTTACCTACATCAGATATATTGGTATATTCAATATAAAGCTCTAAATATAATGATCAAAACAAAAGAATGAATATAGACAAAGACCTTACACCTTTCACAAAAGCAGCTCAAAATGATGAGACTTAAATGCAAAACGCAAAACTCTAAAACTTCTGGTTAATAACATAGGAAAGGGGTTCAGTGGTTAGTGGTCTGACTTTGGCTCAGGTCATGATGTCAGCATCCTGGGACCTGGCCCCGCCTTGGGCTTCATGCCCAGCAAGGGATCTGCTTGTAATCTGCACCGACACCCCCCACCGGGGTGACACGCACATACTCTCTCTACCTTTCAAATAAATAAAATCTTAAAAAGAAATAACATAGAAGAAAGTTTGTGTGACCTTGGGTTTTTATGTTAAACATACAGGTAGCTCGTATGTATGTATGTTAAAAATACAGGTTTTTCGGGGCGCCTGGGTGGCTCAGTGGGTTAAGCCTCTGCCTTCGGCTCAGGTCATGATCTCGGGGTCCTGGGATCGAACCCCGCATCGGGCTCTCTGCTCAGCAGGGAGCCTGCTTCCTCCTCTCTCTCTGCCTGCCTGTTTGCCTACTTGTGATCTCTATCTGTCAAATAAATAAATATTAAAAAAAATACAGGTATTTTTGAGATACACACTAAAAGCACAATCCAAGACAAACAAGCAAACAAACTGTAATTTGAATATCATTAAAATTATAAACTTCTACCATAGACTGGCAGAAAATATTTGTAAAACATATCTGATGAAGGACTTATATCCAAAATATACATTCTTTTTTTAAAAAAAGATTTTATTCATTTATTTGACAGAGACAGAGAGAGAGCACACATGCACGCACAGCAATACAGTAGAGGAAGTGGAGAAACAGACTCCTGGCTGAGCGGGGAGCCTGATGAGGGACTTGATCCCTGGAATCAGGATCGGAGCCAAAAGCAGCGGCTTAACCAACTGAGACACCTAGGCATTCTACATAAAGAACACCTAAAATTCACCAAGAAGAGGGCTGCTTTGGTGGCTCAGTTAGTTAAGCATCCAACTCTTCGTTTTGGTTCAGGTCATGATCTCAGGATCATGAGACCAAGCCCCAAGTTCGTCTCTGCTCAGCAGGGAGCCTGCTTAAAGATTCTCTCCCTCTCCCTCTGCCCCTCCCCCTGCTCTCTCTCTTTTTCTGCCTCTTTCAAATAAATAAATCTTAAGGGGGAAAAAAACCTCACCAGTAAGAAAACAAGTAACACAGTTTAATAATGGGCAAAAGATTTGAACAGACAGCTCAACAAAGAAGATATACACATATCAAATAAGGATATAAAAGAGATGCTCACTATCGTGCCTTTAGGTAATCAAAAATTAAAACGTGTTATCACTATACATCTATTAAAATGGCTAAAATCCAAAACACTAACAGTATCAAATACTGGCAAGGATGTGAAGCAATAGGAACTCTGCAAAATGATATAGCCATTTGGGAATATAGTCTTGTGTTACTTCCAGAATTAAAGATAAGCCTACTATACAATTCAACAATTGTTCTCCTAGATATTTACCCAAATGAGCTAGCCACAAAAATGAACACACAAATGTTTATCACACCCTTTTTCAATCCCAAAACTTAGAAGCAACCAAGATGCATGTTAAACATACAGGTAGCTCATATTTTAAGTGTGCATATATTTTTAAACAATAATTGGAAAATTTAAATCATCTAGACAATTTGTTTATACTCATAACACATATAAACATTGTAAACATTTTAATCATATAATAATGCATAGTTGGACTGTGTTAGGTTGAAAGAAATATAAATCTCACACTTTTTCCCTCTCACATAAAAATCCAGACTCTGTCCTCATCCAAAGAGGCTCCTTCCTGCTCACCATTTAGCTATCCCTACAGTGTAGCCCTTATCCTTACAGTTCAAGATGGAAGCTAAGGCTCCAGTCATCACATCCACATTCTAGTCAGCAAGACAGAGGAAGGGATGAAAAGGTGAAGGACAATAAACAACTGCCTTTTTAAAATTTTAATTCTAATATAGTTAATATACAGTATTCTATTACCTTCAGGTATACAATATAGTGATTCAACAATTCTGTATATTAATCAGGGCTCATGATGATAAGTGTACTCTTAATTCCCTTCGCCTATTTCACCCATCCTCCCCATAACCTCCCCTCTGGTAGCCATCAGTTTGTTTTCCATATTTAAGAGTCTCTTTGCCTCTTTTTTCTTTTTTTTTCTTTTATTATTTTTTTTTAAAGATTTTATCTATTTATTTGACAGAGAAGACAAGTAGGCAGAGAGCAGGCAGAGAGAGCGAGGAGGAAGCAGGCTCCCCACGAAGCAGGACCCTGGAATCATGAGCCGAAGGCAGAGGCTCAACCCACTAAGCCACCCAGGTGCCCCTGCCTCTTTTTTCCTTTGTTCATTTGTTTTGTTTCTTAAATTCCACATATGAGGGAAATCATATGATATTTGTCTTTCTCTGACATACAGTGTTTTATTAGTTTCAGTGGTAGAATTTAGTGATTGATTAGTTGCATATAACAGTCCTCATTTCATCATGTGTCTTCCTTAATACCCATCACCCAGTTACCCCATCCCCCACTTACCTCCCCTCCAGCAACCCTCAGTTTGTTTCCTAGAATTCAGTGTCTCTTGTGGTTTGTCTTCCTCTCTGTTTCCATCTTATTTTCCCTCCTCATCCCCTATGTTCATCTGTTTTGTTTCTTCAGTTCCATGTGAGTGAAATCATATATTTGTCTTTCTCTGACTTATTTCACTTAGTACAATACCCTCTAGTTCCATCCAAGTCTTTGTAAATGGCAAGATTTCATTGTTTTTGATGGCTGAATAATATTCCATTGTGTGTATATGTGTGTATCAGATAGATATATGTGAGATATATATCACATCTTCTTTATCCATTCATCTGTCAATGGACATCTGGGCTCTTTCTGTATTTTGGCTATTGTGGACATTGCTGCTATCAACACTGGAGCGCATGTGCCCCTTTGGATCACTATGTTTGTATCCTTTGGGAAAATACCCTGTAGTGCAATTTCTGGGTCATAGGGTAGCTTTATTTTTAACTTTTTGAGGAATCTCCACATTGTCTTCAAGAATGGCTGCATTTCTTCTCTTTTTGATTTCAGCCATTCTAACCCATATGAGGTGACATCTCATTGTGGTTTTGATTTGTATTTTCCTGGTGATGAGTCATGTTGAGCATCTTTTCATGTATCTGTTGGCCATTATGTCTTCTTTGGAGAAATGTCTCTTTGTGTATTCTGCCCATTTTTGATCAGATTGGTTTTTGGCTCTTGAGTTGTATAAGTTCTTTATATATTTTGGATATTAACCCTTTATCAGACATGTCATTTGCAAATATCTTCTCCCATTCCGCAGGTTGTCTTTTATTTTCTTGACTGTTTCCTTTGCTATGTAGAAGCTTTTTAGTTTAATGTAGTTCCAGTAGTTTATTTTTGCTTTTGTTTCCCTCGACTCAGGAGACACATCTAGAAAAATGTTGCTATAGCTGATGTCAGAGGAATTAGGCCTGTGCTCTCTTCTAGGATTTCTATGGTTTCTGGTCTCACACTTGGGTCCTTAATCCATTCTGGGTTTGTGTTTGTGTACAGTGTAAGAAAGTGATCCAGTTTCATTCTTTTGCATGTAGCTGGCTAGTTTTCCCTGCACCATTTGTTGAGGAGACTGTCTTTTTTCCATTGGATATTGTTTCACAGAGCTCTTTTGCAGAGAGAGGATTAAATGAGATAATCCATGCAATTTATATAATGAGCTAATAACAGCTCAATGTAAGCTTTTATTATTTAGAAATATAATTTTAAGGGTAACATAAAATACCAGCCAGTGAATACATCATCATTACCATACCCTTATTACTGAGTACTTGGTGAATTTTTGGTTAGGGGCTATTGTAAGATTTGAAATATTTTACTACATTAACACATACCGATACACCCAATTTAACACCCAGTCAAAAATACAAAAATAAGGGGCGCCAGGGTGGCTCAGTGGGTTAGAGCCTCTGCCTTCGGCTCAAGTCATGATCTCAGGGTCCTGGGATGGAGCCCCACATCGGGCTCTCGGCTCAACGGGGGGCCTGCTTCCTCCTCTCTCTCTGCCTCTCTGCCTACTTGTGATCTCTCTCTGTCAAATAAATAAATAAAACCTTTAAAATATATATATGTATATAAAAATAAATATGTTTTTTTAAAAACTTTAAATGCAATTTTATTTTTTTTTAAGATTTTATTTACTTATTTGACAGACAGAGATCACAAGTGGGCAGAGAGGCAGGCAGAGAGAGAGGGGGAAGCAGGCTCCCTGCCGAGCAGAGAGCCTGATGCGGGGCTTGATCCCAGGACCCGAGATCATGACCTGAGCCGAAGGCAGAGGCTTTAACCCACTGAGCCACCCAGGCGCCCCTTTAAATGCAATTTTAAATAATGATTGCCTTTCGGGTCATCCCACCAAATGTGAGAAAGAAAAATGCATGTGGTTAGCTGTGAACTAGAACTGGAGTCTTAGACAGACAGACAATGTCCAATCACAAAGACACGGCTATGCACTGAATGCTCGTATCCTTCACTAAACTTATAGTAGTAGTAGGATAGTGGTAGATGTGTCACTACAACCGTCTCCGTGGCCCTGGTTTACTTACTGGCACGAAGGAAGGCAACATAATCCTGAGACACCCAACTCAACCAGCTCTTGGTTTTTCAAGTTTCACAGCCATTTCCTTCCTAACACGGGCTTCAGACACTTTCAGCAAGAGACCAAAGCTTTCCACCCAGAGGCTTTAGTTCAAACACGCCTCCCTGATCGCAGTCCTCATTGAGGCTCATTTCAGCACATCCAAGACCTCATGTTCCCCACATGACACATACCCTCGCTTGAAAACTACTTCTGGCCTAGTGGTGGAGACGGTGGGAGTAGGAAAGGCTTTTGGCTGTTCATTCGCAAGAGAGGATGAGTTTCTTTCTCAGCGTGTGCTGCAACCAGACATAGTACCTCTCCTTAGCAGACGCTCTGCTGTTCCAATCATACACACTGCCGTTGAGTTCAATGTGGAGTTCTAGGAGCGGGCGTCTTCTGGAGGGAACAAGAAAGGCAAAAATTAATGCCATGCAAATGTCAAAGAGGAGACAGATTGCCATTAGATTGAAAGAAGCCAACAGAGGTGACAGTGCATTGAAATTGTTCCTTTTTAAATGCTCTACGAGCTGCTTAGTGAGTGATCCAAGCCAGCTGGCAGCAGTCCGGGCCAATGACCACAGTCCCCTCACTCAAGGGACAACTGAATCTTATCCTAGAGACACGCCAGCCAGATAGTAACACACCTGGATCCCCTACGCAGATGCAGGTTGGATGCCAAGAACACTGCTGGCATATGGAAGGTTGAGTCATTTCTACTACAGTCCCTTCCTTGCTGCTGCGACTGAGCAGGGAGGGAGGCGGGTGTCACAGGCCGTGCAATATATTCCTGGGGTCCCCAGAGCTACCACAGAATGCATTTCGCACATGGCTCCGAAATTTCATTCTAAATTGTAATGGGACAACTGAAAATGGACTGCTAGTCTTACATGGAAATAATCCTCTTAAATGAAAACCAAATCACCCAGGTTTCTCTTAGAGAAGTATTCTTGGCAATCAACATCAGATATGTCTATATAACAAAGAGTTGCCGCTGTGGGGAGTCAGGTATCGGTTTCCTTCCCTCAAACGGTCAAGACAGGGAAAGAAAAGAGCACGCGGTGTTGGGCAGAATTCGCAGACACAGGCACTCTCGTGCAGAGCAGGTGTCCTAGAGGGCAATCTGATGAGACTGAAAGGCATCCCAGCCTTTCAAAATGCATGTCGTTTGACACAGCAATTCTTCTTCTGGGAATTTTCCTCAAGAAAACAGTACAGATAAGCACGAATACTGAGCCACAAAGATACTGAACGCTCTCCTTTTATGGAAGCAAAACACCTTCCAGTGACCGAAAATGGGTCAAGTAAAGTACGCCATAGCCTTATTCTGGACTATTCCATGGACATTAAAATGATGTTGTCCGATACTGACATGTAAAATGCATGTGATGTACTGTTACACCAACTAAAGGCAGGTTATAAAGTAATAGTAGATGATGATTCCATTTTGGTTTGAAAAACATTTAGATATAATTATGCAGGTATCCGAGAAAGATCTGGAAGGCAATACGCCAAGATGTGGCTAACAGAAATTGATTCTAATAAGTAGGCCTATCACTGCTTGTTATAGTCTGCTTTTGGCATTTAAATTTCACAGGTTGTTTTTTTTTTCCAGTAAGGAGAATGTACTGCTTTTATAATAACTTTTTTAAAAAGACAATCAAACATTTACTCATTTTGAAGAACAAGATCCAAACTACAAGCTGACTAGCAAGTGACCTCCTGGAGCACAAAGCATTTATAAATTGTGCCTCCTCCTAAGGCATCCCCAGGAGGGAATGAAAAATCCTTTCCTCCCTGAAGAGAAGAGCATCAACGTGGCACAGCGGCCATCTCCATCGTGGCAACAAGAAAAGAGACAAGTGGTCCCGGGATGGGCCACAACCCACCCAGGTGGCTCACCTTTCTTTCCCCAGCTTCTGGGAGAGGCACTGCAGGTACAATGACGGAGAGCTGGAGGACCGTTCCAACAGGGACACGTTCGCCTGGCACAGGCTCCAGAGGAAGTCAGCTTCTCGGTGAATGGTAGATGACCCAGGATGCTTGGCTTTCGATTCCAGGTTTTTGACTGCTGGTCCATCCACCTCCAGCAAGCTGCTGTTGTCCAGCGGGTCCTCTGACTCCACGTAGTTCTGAATAAAAAAGAGCTTTGGCTTCCCTAAGAGAAAAGGGCATGCGTCTCCCATGAACATCCTCCTGATCCGATCCAAAGGGAACCCTGAGTGTGTCCGATCCACGCCAAACACACTGTGGGAGCCACCTCGGCTCACCAGGATGCACACAAAGCTGTCGTAGTCTCGGTGTTGAGGCATGCAGGCAACTCGGCGAAGGACCCGGATTATACCGTCCACACTCAGATACGAGAAAGACTGAACTTCATAGCCCAGGGAAGTAAAGGTGTCCCGAAGAAATGCTGGATAAAATAAACAAACACACACACACAGACAACAACACTAGGGTGAGAAAAGTTTAAGAGACACCAGGTAGCAATTCTAATAAGCCCAGTCGATCTCCACTACTTAACTCATTTCTGCTTTTGTGCCATAATTTTGAGGTTTTGAGGGACCTGAGCTCGGGGCAGGAAGAAATCAACCTGAAACACACGACCCTCAAGTCCCAGGTTCTCAGTTACAATCTGTCCCTTGCTAGAGGATACCTCCACATCTGGCCACGGGCACGGACTGAGCCCACCTCTAGTCCAATGCAACCAAAGGGGGACCAAAAATTTTTCTCTTCCACCAAAACAAAGCTTGGATTTTTCAAAAAAGCTCTTTATTAAACTAACATGAAAGTATGTATGTAGGAAATGGATGCGTTTGCAGAGCGTAGATCCAAATCTAGATCCAGATGGCTGCAGAGAGGACGGCCCGCATCACAAGTTCCCTCATGTCCACAGGCTGTGGGCTGATACAGAGGCCCTTACATCTAAGCTGCGACCATTTCCAGACTCTCCAGTTCCTCTCATGACCTGCTTCAGTGTTTCCTCTGACTGAGCACTGGGAGCCCTTAGCCAAGATTCCCTGTAGTGCCCCCAAGAATTCCTCTCCTAGTTTCCAGGAATCCCGGATTGACTTTGCCTGTAGGAAGAGTAAAAAGCAGTGGAAAATGCCGACTTTATGCCAGACAAGCCTACCTTCTAACACTGACCTTACCACACCTGTGGGCTGCGTGACTTTAAAGAAGTGGGTCTCCCCAGCATTGAATGGAAGTGACAATACCCACCCTGTGAGCACACGGTGAGGATTAAATGAGATAATACAAATAAAGCTCCTGGGCTCTATTCCCTTTTTTAAAAAGTCTTGTTTCCATTTTCTAGAAATTTCTATAGCCTACCCAGTTCATTTCTTTCCCATCTGCTCAGCTTGCCTTCATCAGAGAAATAAATAGAATCGCCTGCTTTGTTATTTCTTTCTAACAGCAGAGACAGACATTCTCTTCCTCATGAAAAATCCCACATCCCTTTGAGGAGCCCATTAAGTTTCTGTTCCTTGTCTGAGGATGACTACATTTCTTAGTTCAGTTGCAGAGCAGAAAAAATGTTATTCCCTAAGCTAAACAGACATCTCCAATTTCAGGTTGTTACCCAAAACTCCTAGCCAGCTTTTCTGGATTTCTCTCCATGTCTCATGACTATGTAACCACCTCCCTTCATCCCCTGAGCGATGGTCTTCCAGAAGTCCAGCACTGCATCCAAACCAAATTAAACAACACACGAGTTAATAAGAACAGACAGAACTTCTACCCAGGGACAAAAGGGCCCCATCTCATACCAGTGCAGGCATCACAGAAAGGAAAGGTTAAGTAACTCTCCTGAAACTACCACACAACTGTTTGCCACAAATTGTCAACTCTCTGCATTAAATGGAAACAACATGATATAAGACTCACAGCTTCAGGGTGCCTGGGTGGCTTAGTGGATTAAAGCCTCTGCCTTGGGACGCCTGGGTGGCTCAGTTGGTTAAGCCTCTGCCTTGGTTAAGCCTCTGCCTTCGGCTCAGGTCATGATCCCAGCGTCCTGGGATCGAGTCCCACATCGGGCTCCTTGCTTGGCAGGGAGCCTACTTCTCCCTCTGCCTCTGCCTGCCATTCTGTCTGCCTGTGCTCGCTCTCTCTCCCTCTCTCTCTCTGACAAATAAATAAATAAAATCTTAAAAAAAAATAAATAAAGCCTCTGCCTTCAGCTCAGGTCATGATCTCAGGGTCCTGGGATCGAGCCCCGCATCGGGCTCTCTGCTCAGCAGGGAGCCTGCTTCCCTTCCTCTCTCTCTGCCTGCCTTTCTGCCACTTGTGATCTCTGTCAAATAAATAAAATAAAAATCTTTAAAAAAAAAAGACTCATAGCTTCAACCGAGAGTTTCAGCCTTCTTGCCCTACAAACTTTACCAACCCCTAATAAACTATAAAAGTGAAAGTTAGCTATTGTAATTTCTCTTCCAGCTTCTTAACAGGAAATAGGAAGAGAAAAACAGAAAAAGAAACACAGCCATGGGTGAACAAAAAGCTGGAAAAAACAGCCACTGGACAAAGAAGAGCTCTCTTGAGCATTCTTAATTTAATTCACCCAGCCCACGGGCAGTAACCGGCCGGGTATGTTCACACTGGGTCTAGTAGAACTGCCCCCTCAGGAGAGCTGGGGTTAATCATGGCCCCACATTTTTCATATACGGCACTTTTAAATATGTCCACAAGTTCTTTGACATTCCTTCCTTAAAAAGAATGTAATTCCCTTCCCCTCCTTGAATGTGGACCATGCTTGGTAACTTATTTCTTTTCTTTTCTTTTTTTTTTTTTTGTAACTCATTTCTAATGACTATGGCAAAAGAGATACTATGGGACTTCCAAAGCCAGATCATAAAAAGAATACAGCCTCTACCTGGCTCTTTCTCTCTTTCGAACAGCTTACTCTGGGGGGAGAGCCAGCTACCATGTCACAAGAACACTCAGGCAGTGCTGTGGAGAGACTCACATGAATAAGAACTAAGGCCTTGCACCAGCTTCACAGACACCTGAGTGAGCCTCCTGAGAGGATCCTTGGATCCCAGTCACGCCTTCGGATGACCCCAGCTGAGATCCGACCACAATCTGCCGAGAGACTCTGAGCCAGAACAGCCCAGCTAAGCTACCCCTCAATTCCTGCTCCAGACAAACTGTGAAAGATAATATATAAATTCATATCGTGGTTTTAAGCCACTAGATTTTGGAGTAATTTGCACACATTCTTAGATAAATAATTCACCAGGTAAATCAGGAAAAGGGAATGATAATAACCATTACTTAAGGATGTAGTTAGGGTACCTACTTTTTGTCTAGGGTACCTACTTTTTACCTACCACAGGTAAATGGGGGAGAAAAAAGAATTATATATCACGGGGCGCCTGGGTGGCTCAGTGGGTTAAAAGCCTCTGCCTTCGGCTCAGGTCATGATCCCAGGGTCCTGGGATCGAGTCCCACATCAGGCTCTCTGCTCAGCAGAGAGCCTGCTTCCTCCTCTCTCTCTACCTGCCTCTCAGCCTACTTGTGATCTCTCTCTGTCAAATAAATAAATAAAATCTTTAAAAAAAAAAGAATTATATATCACGTAATAATGGAGACATATAAAGAAGGTGCCAATCTCCTTTAAACCCTATGATAAATAAATATTAGGAGGGACATGAAGGACATGATACACAGGTGGGTGGAGAACCTAATAATAGCTCACTCATCCCCACAGGATCTCAGTGTGGTAGAAAAGGCGCTGCCCCCTGACCTGCCCCTCAGCAGGTGTAGGCAAGCCTTCCATATCCAGTACCGGGCTCAGATGAAACCCAGGACCGGAGACCCAGACAAGGACCCCAGTTCCATCACTAGTTTCGTTCCCAAGTCTTGGTTTGAGGACCCACATGTCATGGCGTATTCTTTCCTCCAGGGGGCAGAAGCAAACAGGGAAACACCAGATTCGAAGTGATTGTTTACTTCTCTCAGAGGGCCTGCCTGCCCTCAAAACCCTCTCCTCACCAATAGATTTACTCCCTCACCAAAGTCCCATAGTCTGTCTTGCCAAGCTGATGTGCAGGAGTCAGGGACAAAACAAGGGCTGTCCTGTGCCTTCTATCTCTTTCCCTTTTCTGGGTTCCCAGTGGGGTCTGGCAGGAGTGGGGGCTGTCACAGCAGCGAGCAGGCAGCTGCATGGGGCCAGCAAAAGAGGAACCAGTCTTGGAATCCCAAGATCTAAGTTTAAATCCTGGCTCCTCTCCCTATCTGCTGGGTCTGAACATTGCCTGGTCCTAGAAAAACTAACTTACGCCAAAAGAGGGACTAGGAAGGGGACAGGAATCTGACGTCTGGGGCAGAAAGTGCTTACCTTATAGAACAGGAGAAAGAAGAATAAAGAGGAGGTGAAGCCAAAAATGGGACAGTCCCCCAAAGCCAATAAAGACAGCAATTTGGAGGGAACTCAGACCAAGATGGAGCCGCCATTAAATATCCCTCTGGTAGCCCAGTCACCTCCGAAGACACAGCCTGAAGTCCTCATCGTCGAGATGTCCTGTAATGTCACATCTTTCCTCTATCTCAGAGGGAGGGTTGATGCTAGCTGGCATTTGCAACTTTCTTGCTTGGGCCAGCAAGAACATGGACAGAGCCCAGTCTGATTTATAAGATCAACAGAGTAATGACAGTGGGAGTTTGGACAAACTAACTGTCTTAGTTTATTCATCTGTAATTACTGTGAGTACTACTAATGCCTATACCATGTCCTTCAAAAGGTGCCTGTGAGGATCCGTAAGATGTCTGTAAAGACACTTTGCCAACTATGGGTCCTTACTCAAATGTAAGATATTAATTTTAAAAAGAAAATGAAGACAGCCCCTCATGGAGCCTGCAGCGCATCTCTCTCATGGAAGCTTCTCCTTAGACAGGACCTCCACAGGGAAGTCTCTCTAGCCTACGCTGAAATGCGTGGGGAGCAGTTGGAGTCTGTGTCCTATTTATCACAGAAGCTGCCTTGTCATTTCCCTCAAATGGGGAAGAAAAACTTGGATGCTGAGTTTGGAAAATAAAACTTCAGCGACTGCAGAAGTCACACTTCTCCTTCCACCCTCCCTGGAAACCCCAGTCCTGACTCAACCCTATCTCCGTGAACCTCAACTTCCCAAAATGATGAGTTTTCGTGTGGCCTTGCAGTTAAGACAAGGGCTAGGGTCAGCACCAACCAAAAGGTTCGGGGGCTACTGAGATGAAATCCAAAAAAACTAAATATGGTAAAATGACACCACTCATTTAGAATTTGTTTTCATCTAAAATGAGTTCACACTGGGGTGTTGGTTGGCTCAGTCAACAGAGCATGTGATTTTGAGTTCAAAGCCCACTGGGGTGTAGAGTTTACTTAAAAATAAAATCTTACGGGGCGCCTGGGTGGCTCAGTCGGTTAAACGTCTGCCTTTGGCTCCAGTCATGATCCCAGGGTCCTGAGATCAAGCCTCACATCGGGCTTTCTGCTCAGCAGGCAGCCTGCTTCCTTCCTCTATGCCTGCCTCTCTGCTACTTGTGCTCTTTCTGTCAAATAAATAAATCAAATCTTTAAAAATAATAATAATAAAATAAAATCTTACGGGGTGCCTAAGCGGTTCAGTTGGTTGAGTGTCTGCCTTTGCCCTAGGTCATGATCTAAGGGTTCTGGGATCGAGCCCCACATCAGGCTCCTCACTCAGCGGGCGGTCTATTTCTCCTTCTCCCTCTGACTGTTGCTCTCCCTGCTCGTGCTGTCTCTCTCTCTCCGTCAAATAAATGAATGAATAAAATCTTTTTTTTTTTTTTTTAAGATTTTATTCATTTATTTGACAGAGAGAGAGAGATCACAAGTAGGCAGAGAGCGAGAGAGGAAGCAGGCTCTCTGCTGAGCAGAGAGCCCGATGCGGGGCTCGATCCCAGGACCCTGAGATCATGACCTGAGCCGAAGGCAGAGGCTTAACCCACTGAGCCACCCAGGCGCCGCCAATGAATGAATAAAATCTTAAGGAAAAAATCTTAAAACAAAATAAATGAGTTTGCATTAATCTTGACACAATCTATAAAAAGAAGTCCATTAAACCAATGTATAGAATAAGAAAGGCGGAGTGCCTCATCATTCCATTTACCACTACTTAATGAGCACCTTGTACGAGCCCAGTTCTAATTATAATAAAGCATACAAATGCGGGCACCTGGGTGGCTCAGTTGGTTAGGTCATGATCTCAGAGTCCTGGACCCAGAGTAGGGCTCCCTGCTCAGCAGGAAGCCTGCTTCTCCCTCTCCCTCTGCCTGCCACTGCCCCTGCTTGTGCTCTCTCGCTCTCTTCCTGTCAAATAAAGAAAATAACATCTTAAAAATAAAAAGGGCATACAAATGAGAGCCAAGTCGGGCAGGATATTCTTAGTGAGAAGGGGAGTTAAGTTTCTTTACAGGAGGACTGCTCAGTCTTTCAGACCAATATGCAAATCTCAAAGGAGGAACAAACTATTCATCATTTCTCAAATTATCTTGACCCCAAAACTTGTGTTTTAAAAAGTTCCTCTTCCTATGTTGCAGAAACACTGTATTTCAAGCTGGGAAATAAAGATGAGCCTATCAAGGAGCCTATCATCTGGTTGGGGAGCTTATAAATGGGCACAAAACAATGACTGGTATGTCACACAGTACAGTGGGGTTTTAGGTTAAAAAAAGCGGTCAGAGGAGGGATCATCAGTGCAGTCTGAGACACCTGGAGATGAGACTGCGGTAAAGATATTAATTTAGGTGGGGGCCCAACAAAACAGAAGAAAGGGGACACCTCCCCCCCCCCAAGTAGGGGGATGATTATAAACAAGGACAGAATGAGTAAGTTAGGAAGTGGTGGTAGAGTCAGCTTTGTATAAGTCTGACTGACTTTGTATAAGTCTTTCATTTGTTTCCAGAGACCAATCAAGGCGTTTTAATGGACAACCCACATTCACTCAAAATTATAAACTACCTTTTAGATATCTTCTTTTTAAGTACAAATGGTTACTAGTCATTTCTTCTGGACTAGCTTTTCTTAGGAGAAAACAGTATCAATAATAAGCCTGTCTACTGCAGGTCAAAGAGGCTTGTAGCACACCTCAGACAGCCCCAGAGCTCTCTTCCACGTATCCGCAAGTCCTTATCCACAATTCAGAAAACCCAAAAGCTCTGAAAACATTAAGTTCTTTTCCGTGATTCATTTTGTGGCAAAACTTTTCCTGAACTGGTGAGAAGCTGTTGATAGCCTTTATTCCACTCAGTGTAACTATCCACTCATCTTGCTGTAGCAATGGTCATGTATGGGCTCTAAGACCTTTACAAGTATGAATTCATTCACTTTTCCCAAACTCCCCATGAGGTATCTCCTGTTAGTGAACTATTTTATAGAAGAGAAACTGAGTGGCGCCTGGGTGGTACAGTCAGTTAAGTGTCCCACTCTTGGTTTCCACTCAAGTCATGATCTCATGGGTCATGATCTCATGGGTCATGATCTCATGGGTCATGGGATTAATCCCACAGGTCAGCCTCCACACTCAGAGGGAGTCTACTTAAAGATTCACTCCCTCTGACCCACTCCCAACTTGTGCTCAAGCTCCCTCTCTCTCTCTCAAATTAATCTTTTTTTTTTAAAGATTTTATTTATTTATTTGACAGACAAAGATCACAAGTAGGCAGAGAGGCAGGTAGAGAGAGGAGGAAGCAGGCTCCCCGAGGAGCAGAGAGCCCGATGCGGGGCTCGATCCCAGGACCCTGGGATCATGACCCAAGCTGAAAGCAGAGGCTTTAACCCACTGAGCCACCCAGGCGCCCCTCAAATTAATCTCTTAAAGAAGAAGAAGAAGAAGAAGAAGAAGAAGAAGAAGAAGAAGAAGAAGAAGAAGAAGACAAAGACGACGAAGAAGACGAAGAAGAAGAAGAAGAAGAGAAAGAAGAAGAGAAACTGAGGTTTCAGAGACTAGGAAAATTGTCCAAGAAGAAGAAGAAGAAGAAGAGAAACTGAGGTTTCAGAGACTAGGAAAATTGTCCAAGGTCGCAAGCTAGGATATGACAGAGCCATGAGTCAAAGCCACACAGTCATATTCCAGGACCCACCTGTGACTATGCTCCTAGTAATAGAGGAAAACATAAATACATATTCATTCCTGGTGCACAAGAGGCCTATAACTCAGCAAGGGATGTAGACACTGACACTGAGGTTTAGTCACAAATTCACAGCAGGTCATGGTGTTATGATCTCTTCATACAACAGATATACATCCTGCAGTTGGGAACTTTCTGCTAATGAATGAAACAAAACTGATTATAATAGAAAGTGAAAACAAATACTCTCTTTTAAAGCAGGAAGTTACTCACTGAAGAAATATTTTCTCATTCTTATACTGGTACTAATGGTTAAGAAAGAAATGAAACTTATCTATAGCCGAGGAGACAGCATGTCTCACATCTAACCAAAAATAGGACATGAGGAAAATGAGATCATATCTGAAATCCTGGGAAATTCAACCTAATATTTGCTAATTTGACCTTCTCTTAAATTCTCTTCCCATAGAACTCACCATGGTAACATTTTCAGTGAGCCTAAAAGACAGCTCTGACTCATTCCAAGAATTCTGAAAAGCAGGAAACCTGTGGAAATGTGCTAATCAACCCTTCTGAGGGAGAGATAAATAATTAAACGTGTTCTTTCACAATGAGATTCTTATTCTCTCTGACGCTCCCCTGTGCCTGCTCCAGTCTGACTAGGACATCAACAGCTGAGCAAGAGAACCAGTTCAGAGCCCAATGAGAGAAACGCACAAGTAGCACAGACCAAGAGGAACCGAGGCCAGGGAGAAAGAACTAAGTAAGGAACACACTGCCTCTAAGTGAACACCCATGTCTAGTATTTTTTATTTTTCTCCAGAAAAGCTCTCATAATCTAGCTGCATGACATGCTGGGACATCTGAGAACACTGGGACCAGAAAGCCTTCCGTTTTAAACCCCCACTCTGGATGCCAGGACTCCTCCCGGCCGCAGCATCCAGCATGAAAAAGCAAGACGGAAGCTCCCCAGCTTTCAGCCAATCACACCTTTGTGCCAGAGACAATGCCGTGTGCTCCCCAAATCCCTTCCTTTCCTTCCTGGCACACAACCAGGCTGAGTTCCTTGTCTCCTGTGTAGTCAGGTGAGGGCCCACGAGGGAGTTCGACCGATGGATTGCTGAGGGGGAATGAGGCACCGCACCTTCAGGACCCGTCCCTAAACTCTCTGGGGAGACCCTCCATGCGCTTCCTTCATCCACCACCCAGACCCAAAGAGTCCTGTGCAAAACCCCAAGGCTTCAGATGATGATGTCACTTTAGGATCCCATGGAATGAAGCTCACTCCAGCCCGATCCAGGCTGTGACATGAATGAGAAAGCACCCTTTGCCATGGAAGCCACAGACTTCTGCTGCGGTTTGCTGTGAACAGCTTGTCTGGGCCGTGACCTCACTGTGGGCCTTCGGGTAACCCGCAGCTTCCATACCTACCTGCGTCGTTGCCAATGCAATCAATTATCAGGCAGATTCCCAGGGGTTTGCTCTGCATCCTGTATCTCTCCTCTGGAATGTGCTGGAAAGGAAAGCAGGGATGGTTAAAAACTCTGGACACTGCTCTGTTTCCACAAGGTCCCACACGCATACCATCTTTTCTTTTGGATTTCCTCAAACGTCCTGTTGCCAGGTGAGTCATTCAACAGACACAGCCTGAAGTCACCACAGCTGACGTTTCCCATTAATTTCACATTTTTTTCTCTATTTAGGTAATGTGCCAAAGACAAGCTGTCTCAGTTTTTAATTTTAATGAAAATCACAGTCTCTTTGCACACGACTGAGCTCGGCAGGATGAAGACAATTTAAAACTGAGAGAAAGGATGGGTCATACGTTTCCACAGTAACTTGAGGTTATACAAGTGGTATCTTCCCAAACCAGTACAAAAGGAGGCCTTCTACAGGCTCCTTATGAAGAAGGCTTTCAGCCTTTAAAAAAGAAGCCAGACCAGGTCGAGTTTCAGTGTCACTGGTTACTAATAAATTCAGCAATCACTCAGCTAAGAGGAGAACTGCCACTCTGGAATTTCCCCACATTCCAAAGCTCACGAACGCAATCCACATCAACATTTTTCTCTTTGCTCTATCCAGGCTTCTCCCTTAGGAGGAAGAGTTCCCAGGAGAGTCCCCAGGAGAACGGCACTCGCAGCGTCCTCCTCTTGTCCCAAAGAATTATTAACGGACAGATATCTTAAAGAAACCAGCGTTCTGCACAGATACTGTGCGTACAATACAATACCAAATCAGATCATTTATTCTGTACCCGCGGTAGAGATGCTTCTGACTCCTGGTTGGACGCCTTCACTGATTCTCCTGGGGGATGAGAGAGAAATCACTTACAAAGCTGAAGGAGAACTGAGCCCACTCCCATGCTATCTGGGTTCCTCGATTTCTCAGCTGTTCTCTTCCCTTATTTTCTTCCCCTTACTGTTTCTTCTTTGCTCAGCTCTACTCAGCCCCAAGTTTCCAAACTCACACCAAAGAATGTAACAGATAAGAAAACACCGGGGTAGGTAGAAAAACTACTTAAATAGCAAGGGGAAACAAAAGGTTCTCCCTTGCCTTTCTCCAGAAGAGGGCCAGGTGACTGATGAATTTTTAAAGGGATAGGAAGACTCCAATAACCTCACAACTCGACAATATCAATAGCTTTCTTCCCTGTGCTGAAACCGTGGGCAACGCCTACAGGGGACAGCCTTAGGGACGACTGAGTGGGAAAACTGTGCTTGAGTTTGTCACTCATGCAACAGATGGCTGTGTTTTCTTAGTCCAGTGATATTGAAAAGTCATAAACTAAAATGGCAACGGCAAGATAGAGGACAGTGAGCCGAGCAAATGTAGATAAGCCTAAAGCTGATAATATAAGGCGGAAAATGACTTCATTCGCTCAGAGAGGTGGAGAAACCACTAGTTTTGAAGTCATGAATGTCTGCCTCAAACCCTAGCAGTATCACTGGTGAGCTCTGTGATCTCGGGCAAGGTTCCTCCTAAAATCTCAGGGTGTTTCACTTCGTTTTTAAATCCCTAAGATGAACATACCAACATCTACCTTATAAGATTGTTACCAAAATGAGACCATCTAAAGACAAGCAAAGAAAATGTCAGTATTTTCAAAGTTTGGGGGAAATGAGTACTTTCAAGTGTGTAAGTTGAAATAGTCTTTTTGGGGCACCTGGCCGGCTCAGTCGGTAGAGCACGTGACTCTTGATCTTGGGGTTGTAAATTCAAGCTCCACATCAGATATAGAGATTACTTCCAAAAAAATAAAATATTTTAAAAAAGAAAGTCTTTTCATTTATTTATTTTTTTTACGATTTTTATCTATTTATTTATTTGAGAGAGAGAGAGAGAGAGAGCACGCACAAGTAGGCAGAGCAGCAGGTGGAGGGAGAGGGAGAAACAGCTCTCCACTGAGCAGGGAGCCTGATGCGGGACTTGATCTCAGGACCCTGGAATCATGACCTGAACCGAAGGCAGACGCTTAACCGACTGAGCCACCCAGGAGCCCCAAGAAACGGTCTTTTTAAAAGACAACCGGCAATACCTTTTAAACCAACATTCTGCTTCTAGAAATTTATCCTAAGGAAATAATAGAGCAAGTATGCAAAAATATCTACCGAGTAATTGTTCATAATGGCCTCAAACTAGAAAAATACTTAAAAATCCATCAACATGAGATAGGCTAAATAAATCATGGTACGTATGATGGACACTATTCATGTTAGGAAGGATAAGAAAGATCTTTATGTATTTGACATGAAAAGATGCCGGATATAGTAAGTGAAAACGGATTACTGAGTAACATGGATAATACTAACCCACGTACTTAAAAATACGTGTGTGCGCAAATGCTTACACATATGTATGCTTAAAAATAAGAGTCTAGAGATATATAAATCAAATGTTAACAGCGGTCATCTGATACTTGGGATTAAAAGGAAATTTCTCTTTTTCATTTTGTATTTAAGCAATCAGGGATTAAAAGAATAAAAAATAAACTGTAATATGCCCATCTAGGGTTAAGGCACTTAGTAAGAGCTTAATAAATTATAGTCATCATCATCATCATCCAATCCAGATCTATTTGCGAGTCTAAATTAATATGAACGGTTTTTTCTTCACTAGCAAATAAACCAGATCCAGTCAAAAGCCGGTCCCTAGCTCTCTGAAGGACCACCATGGGCGCTGGGAGCCTCACCCATCTCACCTGTGTCATTACTTTTTTTTTTAATTTAAGTTTAATTAGCCAACATAGAGTACATTGTTAGTTTCAGACGTAGAGTTCAGTAATTCATCCGTTGCCTATAACGCCCAGTATCATTACAATGAAGGAGAAGCCTGCATCAGGGTGCGCTACAGGAAGAACACCAATTTGTTTTTCATTCCTGTCCAAATCTACCAGGTCTCCTGCTTTCCTTTTAAACAGCTTTCGGAATGCTAATTCTTGCCACCTCACCAGTGTTTTGAGAAACATGCTGTCACTTCAGGAATAAATTCACTTCTCCGTAGCTTTTGCCAGATTGCAGAGTATTAGGTGGGGAATGACAGGCATGAGCAGTACCATCTGGTGAATCTGGGCGAACTTCTCAGTTTCTAGATGCAGGCAGACAGCATGGAGGCTGACTCAGAAGATTTTGGCAAGGGGCCTGCCACACAAAGAAGGTTTCCATCAGGCCACTGCTCTGCTGGAACATTCGAGATCGCCATTGCACAAGGGACAAATTCCAAGCTCCTCCGGAAAGACTGAGCCCTCCTTTCCTGCCCATGGATCCCTGCCTCCTGGAGTTCTGAAGCACAGGCAGCGACAATACAGTGTGAGACCGATTCTCAGCCTTCACTTCAGGGAGGCCTCAAGTCACGCAAAAGAAATACACCTTTTAAAAATGATGTTATGAGGGGCGCCTGGGTGGCTCAGTGGGTTAAGGCCTCTGCCTTCGGCTCGGGTCATGATCCTAGGGTCCTGGGATCGAGCCCCGCATCGGGCTCCCTGCTCAGCGGGGAACCTGCTTCCACCTCTCTCTCTCTGCCTGCCTCTCTGCCTACTTGTGATCTCTGTCTGTCAAATAAATAAATAAAATCTTTAAAAAAAAAAAAAAGATGTTATGGGATCAAGTGATGATATTTAAGAGAGAAGACAGAGATCGTATGGGTTGAAATGACTAGTTTTTTTACTGTATTTTTTGTTTCTTCTTAGGAGTAGAAGGATGTCATCTGTAAAGTATCTAGATTTATTAAATGAGCTATAAAACAGAGACACCTGGGTGGCTCATTTGATTAAGCGTCTGCTTTCAGCTCAGGTCATGATCCCAGGGTCATGGGACCAAGTCCTGCATCGGGATCTCTGCTCAACGGGAAGTCTGTTTCTCTCTCTGCCTTCCACTTCTCCTGCTTGAGTTCTCTCTGACAAGTAAATAAATAATTTCTTTTTTTTAAAAACTGAGCTGGGGCGCCTGGGTGGCTCAGGTGGTTAAGCAACTGCCTTCAGCTCAGGTCATGATCCCAGAGTCCCAGGATCGAGTCCCGCATCAGGCTCCCTGCTCCATGGGGAGTCTGCTTCTCCCTCTGACCTTCTCCCCTCTCATGTTCTCTCTCACTCTCTCTCTCTCAAATAAATAAATAAAATCTTAAAATATATATATATAAAAAATGAGCTATAAAACAATATCCTAGTAACCTTCCTTCTTCCTGCTGCCAGATATGTGATTTAACATGGTTCGTTATCATGGCTAGATTAATGTTTAACATAGCCTGGTTATAGTCCCATTTCAGGAATAAATAGCACATCTCTTAAAAATATAGCCAAGATGATGAAGCTGTTGGAGTAGGAGGTATTTACATTCAAATAAGCTAATTCATTAAATAATTAGAAATGCCAACGGCTACATTTTAAGAATTTAACTATCTACTTTGAGAGTTTAATCAGAATATGTAGATAAAGGAAATGGTCAACTCCAAAAATTCAACAATTTGTACTTGAGTTATCAAGCATTTATAAAGAATGAATGAATATAAAGAGGGGCGCCTGGGTGGCTCAGTAGGTTAAGCCTCTGCCTTTGGCTCAGCTCATGATCTCAGTGTTGGGCTCTCTGCTCAGCGGGAAGCCTGCTTCCCCCTCTCTCTGCCTGCTTCTCTGCCTACTTGTGATCTCTCTCTCCCTCTGTCAAATAGGTGGATAAAATCTTAAAAAAAAAAAAAAGAAAAGAAAAGAAAAAGAAGAATGAATATAAAGAAAAATTGGCCTTACTTTGAAGGTCAAGTTGTCCCACATTGAGTCTTTGTTCTTTACTTCTCCCATTCTGGAGCTTCAAATATAAAGAATAAGGTCACATCCCCTGTTAGTTTTTTTCAGAGCCACTTTATATCACACCTCTTTAAATATCTCCATAGAATTCTTACCCAGGAAAAAAATAAAATTATCACATTCACAGTTAAATTATCTAAAGAAGACCTAGAACAGTTAACTCCATAAATCCTGTATTCTATTGTCAAAAAACAAGGCAACTCTTTCTTTTAAAAAACGAAAATACAGTGAACATGCAGCATGCTAAATTAGCTTATTAGAATGTTTTAAAACAGCTCAATAAAGTGCGATGTTATGATATTGTAGAACAGCTTCCAGTTAGAACAAGCTGTTGGAACATCAGATTGACATTCTACCTGACCCTTTAACACAGAGGCAATGTATGGTATGATTAAGAATGGGAGTTCTGAAGTGTTGGTGAGGATGTGGAGAAAAAGGAACCCTCAGGCATTGCTGGTGGGAATGTAAATTTGTTTAAATACTATGGAAAACAGTATGGAGGAGTTTCCTCAAAAAGTTAAAAATAAGGGGGCGCCTGGGTGGCTCGGTGTGTTAAGCCTCTGCCTTCAGCTCAAGTCATGATCTCAGGGTCCTGGCTGAGGACTCTCTGCTCAGCAGGGAACCTGCTTCCCCCTCTCTCTCTGCCTCTCTGCCTACTTGTGGTCTCTGTCTGTCAAATAAATAAAACCTTTAAAAAAAAAAAGTTAAAAATAGGAATACTATTTAATTTAATAATTCCATGGCTGGGTACTTATCCAAAGAATACAAAACACTAATTCAAAAAGATACATGTACCCCATGTTCATTGTAGTATTACTGACAAAACCCAAGACACGGAAGCAACCTAAGTAAGTGTCTATAAGTAAAGAACACATAGGGAAAATATACACATATATACACACACCATAAATATGTAATATATTATAGATATTGAAATAATTACATATGGAGTAGTATATATATGTAATGGAATATTACACAGCCACAAAAAGGATGAGTCTGTACCATTTGTGACAACATGGATGGACCTAGAAAGTATTATGCTAAGTGAAATAAATAAGACTGAGAAAGACAAATACCTTAATATGTGGAAACTTAAAAAAAATGAATAAACAAACAAAAAGCAGAATCAGACCTATAACTATATAGAACAAACTGATGTTGCCAGAGGGGAGGGGGGGTGGGAGGATGGGCAGAATGGTTGAAGGCTTCCAACTACGGAGTGAATAAGTCACAGGAATAAAAAGCACAGCCCAGGGGCGCCTGGGTGGCTCAGTGGGTTAAAGCCTCTGCCTTCGGCTCAGGTCGTGATCCCAGGATCCTGGGATCGAGCCCCGCATCGGGCTCTCTGCTCAGCGGGGAGCCTACTTCCTCCTCTCTCTCTGCCTGCCTCTCCGCCTATCTGTGATCTCTGTCTGTTAAATAAATAAATAAATAAATAAATTTTAAAAAAAAAAAAAAAGCACAGCCCAAGAATATAGTCAATGATATTAGCTTATATGGTGACAGATGGTTGTAGCTACACTTGTGATAAACATAATGTATAAATTTGTCAAATCACTACGCTGTACACCTGAAACTAAGGTAACATTTTGTGACAACTATACTTAAAAAAAAAAAAAAAAAAAAAAAAAAGGAAGAAAAGAAAAAAGACAGTGGGGAGTTCTAGAAGACAAACCTGGCTATGTCTAGACCAGACAAACCTGTATGCTTGAGCAAGTTATCTAACCTCCATGTCTGTTTCTTTATCTTCAAAATGAGGATAATAATAGTAGCCATCTTATAATATTTTGTGAAGATTAAATGTACACAAAGCACTTACCACAGTGCTAGTTGTTGTTTTTCTGTAATGCCTAGTTATTGGGTTTCTTTAATGCCTAGCTGCGCATAAGCCACATGTGGGCTTGGTTCTTAAAAATCAGCTACAAAAAAAAAAAAATCAGATACCAAAAATAAAAAGATATCCAAAAAAAAAAAAAAAGATACAAAAAAAAAATCAACTACAATTCTGAGGACTAGAATGAAATTAATCAGAAAATGAAATATTGAACCGACCCTTTCTCTTCTCAGATGACAGGTCCTTTGTAAGGTACATGTACCACATACTGCCAACCATCTGATAGGTTCAGCTTTCAAATGACAGTTCTCTTCTGAAGCTACCCTAGCCAAAAGAGAGAAGTATACTATTCATTAAGCTGTGTCTGCAGCTGTGTTTGTGTCTAAATGAAAGAAAAACATGTAAGTTGCTTTTTATCACTAATCACAAGTGACTTAGCCAGAAGCTGACAGCACTATACAGAATTTGGAACCCCACGTGGATGTGCATTCACATGAACATAGCTACTAAAGAAATACAACGTCGAATCAAAGCTCGATTTAAAAAGCATCGTGTTGCAGAGTGACGCAACTTTCTTACTCTATAATATGTTGTATCATGTGTCATTTAATGCCCCTGCAATTTTTAAGGCACTTTGCATTCTTGTATGCACCTCCTAATTTTATGAGAAATTCACTGAATCCATATGCCACAGTGCCTGCAGACTAAGCAAATTAATGACCAGGGTCATCGATCAATAGAGCAAAGTAAAGGAGAAATTTAAATACAGAACACTTAGGTTCCCAATAGGCTACACAGACAGTGAATATAATTACTTTCATCAACAAAATTGAAAGGCAGTAGTAAAAATATGTCAAGCTTTTAACCCAGAGTGGCAGTATAATTTGTATCAGATATACGCTAGTAGAAAAAGCTCAGAAAATCTGGATCTTGAATCCTAAACCAATTTTGTTTCAAGACTTGGTATCACAGAGATTCAGAAGGACAAAAAGGAAGTATATTTGCTTCTTTAAAAAAAATGACAGATACACTTAAGTTATGGCATGACTGGCACGTAGCTGATTAAACTCAGCATGGTATAGAGGGAAGAACATGGGCTGGGCCCAGTTCTGGTGGTCCACAGAGGTGGGCAATCACCGAATGCACCTTGGGCTTAAATTTCCTTTTTTGTTCGATGAGTGAGTTGGACAGTATAATCCTCAATACCCAATTAGCTCTGAAATTCTAGTGCTCAACGTTATCTCACAGCTCACATTCTTCATGGAACTATTTCTATTACAGGGGTAGTTAATGTTTCCCTCACCCGTGTTTATGAGAGCTTTTATAATTTAACCGTGAACCTGCACTGCGACCTAAGACCTAACTACAAATTCCACAAATCTTTATGAGGATGAGGCTCTCCTACTAGGATTAACTTCTCAAGATAAAAAACTAACCAAGGATAATTATGAGAATACACTGCACCATTTAACAACACCACAGCCTGAAGTCACTATGTGATATTTACGGTCACAAATCAATTACTCAGTAATAGAACTCAGTAACAAAAACACTTCTGCTGAAATTGTTAAAATAAGCCCAATAATAAGCAAATGCACAGAGAGGTAAATATGAGGATATTTATTTTGAATCACTGCAATAACAAAAGGTTGGAAATGATCTAAATATACACACCCAAGAAAGGGCTATATACATATATGGCTATAGACATATCAGAAAGTAGATCCATATGAACGCATTAAAAACAATGGCCAAATAGAGGGGGTCCCAAATGGTTCATTCATATGGAACAATTTCCAAGAATCCTCAGCGCAGGATAATGGGCAGTGTTCTCCCATTTGCACAAAAAGAAAAAAAAAAAAAACAAAAGTGAAAGATGGTATGCGTAGACTATTTCTGGAGGTTTACAGAAGAAAGTGGTTCACCACAGCGGTCTCTGGGGAAAGGAACTGGGATAAGAGAAAACATACTTTAAGAATCCTTTTAATACATCTTGAAATTTTTGTTCATGAGAATGTGCTACTTACTTATATTTAAAAAGCTAAATTTTCTAAAGAACAAATGAACAATGATTACAAATGTTCAGCTGTAATTGTGTAGGTACACACACATGCATCAAAAAAAGACTAGAAGGAAATCTGCCAAGATATTAACAGTGATTATCTTTAGTTAGTAGGATAGAAGTGATTTATTTTCCATCTCTTCTATTTCTCTGCATTTTCCAAATTCTCTCAATGAACACAGGTTGGCTTTGTAATCATAAGAAGGTATACATATTTTTTTAATGTATTTTTCTACCACATTTTTTTCAGACATTTAAATGAAGTACATGCTATGAGAACATGCATACTTTTATCAGCATTCGGAAACCGTTTCTGGAATTCCATACATTTGCTCCAGACTCACCCTTAAGTTACATGAAGGATCCTTAAGACTCAAATTTGGGAATGATGCCTGGAGTGCATTTGTATAACTTGTTTCAGGTCCCTGAGCTGTAAGCAGAAGAGAGGTATTAACTTAGGATGTGTTAAGTTATCGTCAAAGGACTATTCAACAATGGCTCAGTTTGGTCCATCATCCATCTTTCAGAATACCCTGAACTTTATCTAACTACCTTACCAAATTCAAAAGATCAGATCACATGATTCCCCCACTGTCATTAAGAAAGGACTAGAAATGCTACACCAATCCTTGATCTTTTATTGGTTGCCTGGGGGGAGGGGAGGTCTGTAGATCCCTGGGTCTCAGCTACGCCCTTGAGGCTGTGACCCTATGGTGGGAGTAGACCGCTAACAGAGCCCACGGGGGGGAGGCTGAGTCTAAAAGACAATGGGGGAGGGGTGGCATGAGAAAGCAGGCCACTGTAAGTCTGGTCCCATTTGTGGAGGGAACTTTAGCTAGGGGATCCCAAGGGACAGGATGCCACCCGGAATTGAATGGGGGTCAGGCCCAACACTGGAACAAGACAGCAGGGCTTGGCACGCACTCGGAAGCCCTCCATGTCCACGATGCTGCCAGCCTGCGCAGAAAATGCGACTCCTTCCGGAAGGCCGGAAAGTTAAGAACTTATTGGCAGCGTTCCGCAGAGGGCTGAGACTCTGCGATCATGGGTATGGGCTGATGAAGTCAGCAGATCTGGGATAAGAAAGCTAGAAAGGGGTGTGATCTCTAGCCACAGACTAGTGGGGGCTGTTGACACTCCGGTTCTGCTCCCTCCATTCCACCAACAATTGAGTCTTTGCCAACCAAACCTCAGACGCACAGGGTACTTTCCTTAGGCCGCACAGAGGCCAAAATCCTACTCACCTGACTGCTTGTATTTCTGGATTTTTGTCTTCAGGTCTACTCTGTGGATGTTCTTCAGGCATTTTTCTAGTAAATCCAACTGATCAGGAGCAATCAGATTTAGTTTCTCTAATTCGATCACGAGATCTAGGAAACTCTGAGAGAGATACCAACAAACAAATGTCAGGAAGGCAGACTCTGAAGCCCCAAGTGCAAACCTCGGGCTGTGTGAATGTAGCAGCAAGGAAATGTGACAAGGGGAGCCCCTTCCATGATCTTCGGTGATACTAAACCAGACCTCTCTGTTATAGTCCCTCCAAGGCCAGGAGCAAATGACACTCCTGGATTTTATTGAGAAAGAGGTGGGAAAGTCTTCTGGTGGACAGCCCCTACGGAGGTTGGGGATAGACACGTGGGCCATATTATGTCATCAAGAAGTACCATGAGGGGGGCAGGCCAAAAAATAAAATCCTCCTGACGTTATTCTCTTCCAAAAGGCCTGACGGATATTCTACTGAAAAACTCTAAGGGCTTTCCTAAAAAAAAAAGGGGAAGAAAGAAGATAGCTGGAGGCAAGTTTCTACTAGAAAAATCCCAGTGATGTAATTCTGAAGTTCCTAAAATATTTCAGTCAATGCTGGACATTCCAACTCAATCTGACTCAGGAGGTGTGAGGGGGTAAAATTTAAAAGTTAGGGTATAAAGCTAGTCACTTGCCCTGGACCAAAGAGATTCAGAAAGAACTCTATTTCAGAAATAGGCACCGCTTTGGGTTTTACTTCCCTTCTGTTTAACATTTGACTACTGAGGCTCTATGTTTATTTTTTTAAATAATCATCAGCATGAAATTGCTATAAATGATTGGCAGATAAGTTGATTTGGGGACACCAAACAAAAGTTCTATTTTTTCATTTTCTTTCCTATTCGATGCATTTGATGACGGGGGCATCCGGCCACCCCGTCTGCCTAGATTTCAGAAACAAAACTACGATGATCAAAGAACATGAGGAAATTCTCAAGCAGCACCTCACCAGAGTCCTCAAAGGCAGGTCCTTTAAGAACATATTGTCATAATCTAGAGACCTGAGGTTTTCCTGGCCTGTCCCTAGGCCAGCAGGCTCACATAGGGCCACACGGAATTTAAACACTTTTCCAGCAATTACAACATCCCTGAGATTTTGACTGCTACCTAGCTTCCAGCCCCAAATCTCTACTTTTGCCATTCCCTGAATACATGAGTCACAAGAACCTTCCCCCACCCCATCTCCATCTGGAGCCTAATGACTTCGCCCTGACCTCGGGCTTGCTGAGGGGAAGCAGATGCCGTGGGAGGGCAAGACGGGAGTGGACTCGTGCTTCCCACTTGTTTGCACTCAGCACGAGCAGATGGGACTTCCTAACCCTCCCAGATGGTCTGTCAAACGGGGGAGAGAAACTGATGCCTAAATCAGGCCTCTGACTTTTATAGAAATAAGGATAAAATATAAGGATGAGAGAAACACCCAGGGCCACCCTATTTCCTCTCAACTGAGAAACCAGTTCTCTTCCTATCAACGGTATTAAGGAAATAACTTCCTCTTCTCACTTCCTACCTTCACCCTCAACTTGGGCCTTCCTATTCAAGGACACCCCACCTTCTGATAGGCTCTTGGGAAAATGAACCAAGAAAAAGAAAACTTACCTTATCCTTGGCTACCTTTCTCCGACCAAGATAATCCCTCATGAGGAAAAATAATGAGGACAAATCAGAGTTTTCCAAATTGCCACCAATTTCTGTCATCAGCACCCTGTAAACCAGACAAGTTTCTTTTTTAGTAAATTCAGATACCATCCTAGTAAAAATAAAAGAAAGAAAGAAAGAAAGAAACAAGAGCCTATGCCTCCACTATGCCAGTTAACTGGTTAAAAGGCTAGTTCAGGCCCCCATTTGATATATACCCCCATAAAACAGAAAGCGTAGGCCACACCAGGAAGATATCTTAAGGGAACTCAAAAAGGGAATTTGTCCTTCCCTTGCTTTCAATAGGAAAGAGTACCTTTCTTTCCAACTAACTGCTCTAAAAACAACTCAGAGAATAAAAACTTCCCTAAAGAATCCCCTAGTTCCCCCAGACATTATGATGAAGTAAGTGAAGAACATATATGACTAAGACAGAAGACAGAAATAGAATTCTAAGTGATCTCGTCTTCTCTGCTTTACAAGCTCCCCGGGGGATGCCGATGCCGCAGACCCAGGGACCATACTTTGAGTTTCAAGCTTCTAAAGGAAGTCATCCCTGGGATGTCCTGGCCACTCTTGAACTTGAAGGGTAAAAGGCATCTAGAGCCTGGGGATTGTGACCATAGGTGTCTTGGTCTCGAGAGCTCCTCCTGAGTCAGTCACCTCTGCGCCGGTGGGAGCCACCATCACACTTCCATCTGGGCTCCCGGGACACCCTGTAGTTGGCATTATTGCCTTGACATTGTCCTCACTGCTTCAGAAGGCTGTTTTCCCCATTATGCTCTCCAATTCTTTTTTTTTTTTTTTAAGATTTTATTTATTTATTTGACAGAGAGAGAGAGAGAGATCACTAGTAGGCAGAGAAGCAGGCAGAGAGGGAGGGGAAGCAGGCCCCTTGATGAGCAGAGAGCCCGATGTGGGGGCTCGATCCCAGGACCCTGGGATCATGACCTGAGCCAAAGGCAGAGGCTTAACCCACTGAGCCACCCAGGTGCCCCATGCTCTTAAATTCTTGACGATGGAAGATGCTTCGTCCATATGGCTCTAGCGCTTACCAAACACCTGGCATGTGTTGACCCAAAACAAAGGCCACCGAACAGATGTATCGATGAATCTAGCATCCCAATGCCCAGTCTCTCTGCCCAGAGGCTCCGAGGAACTGTCCACACTCACCATAGCAAGGAGACAGGAAACGGAGAGTGCCCTAACTTGTTCACTGAAACCCAGTGCCTCCGAAAACGTGTCAAGAGCATCACGGACATAGTATGATTGTTGAAGAGGAGAAGACAAGGAAGACTAACCAGAGCAGTAATACTGAACACGGGCATCTGGAGGGTGCTGCACAGTTCTAGAAGTACTTCACGAACTCCATTAGTACAACTGATCTCCACCAACAGACTTGTGAAATCGGGTTGCGTCATTTTTTTTTGCTTTACAAGTGGGAAAAGGAAGACCCAACCAATGTCAGTGGCAGGCTCAGCCCATGTGGTCTGTCACTGGGACTTGAAACAGGCCTCTAGACCTCAAGCTGCAGACACTTCCCAAGGCCTACACCGCTTTCAGCTCTCCTTAATAGAGTTCTTGGTAATACACATCTTCTCCAAATAATGTGTCATTGGTACAACTGACAGCTGGTGGTCTGGAGAAAAAGGAACCATTAATTTAAGGTTACAGGGTATCTTCCTTTCTCCAGAAATGCAGCCTTTCTCATGGCTTCTGTGCTTCTCTGAACCTCCCAAGAGAGTAGAAGGTAAACAGGAGGAAGGAAAAACTAAACTAAAGGGGACTCCTGGGACCACTCCTCTCAGAACTGAAGGGGGCCTACAGCTGGTTAATCAGGGGGATGCTCGTGCTGCACTCCTGGCCCGCTGAGCGTCAAGGGGCAAGGACCTCAGAGGAACTCACAGAAAGGGAGCCCACCCCACTAACCACTTCAGCAGGGGAAAGACCAAAGCGGACTCAGGAGGGGGTCACAGAGCTCTACAAAGGTCAGGAAGATCACTGTCAGACTTGTTATTTCCTTTCTCAGAATTTGCCGGTCTGACATCACAGAAAATAACCTAAGAAAGACCACTGCAGATCGCACATTCAGGGGACGGCAAGAATTACTATCTCTGAGTCATTCTTCTCTCTCTCATTCTATCCATCAGGCAAACACATGCTACCCAGCCCTTCCACTTTCTTTATGATCTTCCACCCAATTACTTCAAGCAAACATGGTCTAAGAATTCGAAGACTTCAAAGGAATGAAGTAACATCATAAGGCAGTCGAATCTGTGGGTCAAGGAGGGGACAATCCCTGCATTTTCTTACGGTCCTCATTCCTCTTGTTCGTAAGCCGGGACCACCTCACTCCCTCTCACCAGGTCCAGCCTTGGGAATTGCCGATCAGTTACCTGTAGTCTGAAATAAGGCCAGGGTGCCTGAGCAGGTGGGCCTCCACTGCCCTTCTGTCTATCTTGAAGATCCGCTTGAGCAGATCAAACCGCCTCACTCTGTAGAGCAGCTCAGCCAAGCCCATGGCAGACAGCAGTCCTCGCTCACTTAAAATATCCAGAAGGTCCCTGACGTTAAGCGGAGCAACATCGGCAGCAACGTCCCGACACAAAAAAAGCAGCATTTTCTTCTCGTCCTCATCAAGGGCCTCCTCAACCTGATGGATGACCTCAGTAGACATCATGCACAGTGTCGTTCCAAAAAAACTGTAGAAATAAAACTCCACTCTAGTCAGTAAGAGGCCATGAGGCTGCTGACTTCATTTCTGATGGTTTTCTTTATGTCTTCCAAAACCCTTTCCAATGGAGTTCTGTGGTTAAAAGGCAATCTTTTACGTCCTCGTAGCAAAGTAACTTCTGTCACCAGTTCAGGGTAGAGGTTCTTGCTCGCTGGTCTCTCTAACCTAGCAGATTAGACATACCTTGTTAATGTCTATTTAAGGTAGACAGAAGCAACTGATTGAAACACCAAGCCAGACAAAGAAGATAACCTAAATTTTAGAGGAAGTGAAACCAGAAACAGATTATCCTCCAAAAATCCCACAGGTTTTATCAGAATTTATGAGAATGTCAAACACGGTACGAAGACAATCACAAATGAGAGTGGTTAATCACTAAATGGTATATGAATAATCTTGGTGGGAGGAGGAAGAAGAAAAAGCCCAATGACTAAGCAGCTAAAGGGACTAGAAAAACTGGTGTCACAGGGTTAACTCTCAACTGAAGTGACACGGACCAGGTAGGTTTGAACAAATACCAGTCTTGACAAGAGACCTTCTACAGGGGATCAGAACTACTCCACCCCTCCTCTCCCAGTCGTCTCCTGCTCTAAAACTCCTCCTGAGCAGAAATCTCTGCAGAGTCTGGGCTCATTTTCACAACTTCATCGGGAATGCTCACTGGACGGGGCCCCTTTAGCTGAACAAAGGCCCTTGTCAAGTTTTGATCACGGCTTCAGATCCTGAGCCCCGGGAAGCGGCAGAGGCCCCTCACTCTCAAACAGCGCTTCCGGCCAGCAATTATCACAGGAGTTCCTGATGGTATTAGCGGAAGGAAGGAAGGAAGGAGAATGGAAACTCTGGGGAAGGTTCTCGCTCCCAGGGCTGGACTCGGGTGGGAGCAATGGGAGGTAATGCCACAGATGTATTCTTAATTGTTCCACTGAGGCTCAACCTATTCTTTTTCAAAATTTAAGTTGCAAATGGCAGCCGCTGTTTATTTTAAAGTTTCACAGCAATAAGTAAATAATAAATTTTCATTGCTATATTTTATGTTAAATAATCTCTTGTGCTCTGAGAGAGTACCTTATCTATTTCTATTAGAGAACATTTAAGATTGAAAGTTTATCTTAGCAAAAAATAATAATAATAGTAGTTATTATTATTATTATTGCAAACAGAACCCCACCGTAAATTGCTGTTACTACGTATTTATTTGTGTACAAGTGTATTTATGTAATTATCAAGCTATATTTAATGAAAGGAACACTGAAGCTATTTTATTTATTTATGCACAATTCCAATCCACAATAGATTTGAGGCATCTTGTAATAGCAACACTAAATACAAGAAATTTTTCTATGAGATGAGGGGAAAAAATTAGGCTAAAAAAATCATTAGGTTATTAAGTCGAAATGGGGTGGAAAGATAGAGAAGACAAAGCAAATATGCAGGCCAGAAAGGCCTAAACAAATTTTAGCAGACTGTGAATTTGTCCCTGAGTTTCCTGGCAGTCAAAGCAAAAGGTGGTATATGGGACATTAAGTAGTTCTTGCTATCAAAGATAAAAAGACAAAATAGATTCTTAGAGTAAACACAAGTTCCTAGAGATCCACAGTTCCCCATCAATGAAAATACTAATGAGCATTTTAGTGTCTGAAAGTAACAAAATCAAATTTATTTTAAGTTTTATTTTACTTTTCAAAAATTTAAAATATTTTATTTTAAAGTAGACCATCTGGGTCGCCTGCGTGGCTCAGGTGTTAAGCGTCTGCCTTCGGCTCAGGTCATGATCCCCGGGTCCTGGGATCAAGTCCCTGAATCAGGTTCCCCACTCAGAGGGAAGCCTCCTTCTCCCTCTCCCACTCCCCGAGCTTGTGTTTCTCTTGCTGTGTCTCTTGTCAATTAAATAAATAAATAAAATCTTAATAAATAAATAAAGTAGATCATTCATTTATGTCTTTCACATTGGCCTTCCCACAATCAGGTTAAATTGGGTGAGTTCTTAATAAAAACAGACATTTTACCTTATGTCTACTTGCTCATCAGTATTGGTGTGTCTTTGCCAATCTCATGCCCATTCATCCAAACCTCACTTCTACACAGCCATTATGAGTAACTGGAGAAATGGAATTTACTAAATGACTGCTCAATGAAAGTAGAAAAAGTGGCCCTCAGACTACTTTTATTTTTTTTAATCTGAAAACTTAGTAACAAATTTATGCATTCCAGAGACCCTACATTCATACTTTATTCACAGGCTAACGATAATATAAACTATTTCCATGGAAGGAAGTCAACTACTTATTCTATTGACCAAAAGTCACAATTTTGTTAGTAGTCATTATAAATCCATCTATAAAATATTCATACCCACCAGAAGGTATAAAATAAGTAAGAGGTCATTAAACACAAGAAGAATAAATGAGACATTATCCAAATTCACAAGACTTATCTGAAAAAGAACCAAAGAGAAATCAAGTGTTCAATTCCTTATTTTTATTTATTTTTTTAAAGATTTTACTTTTTTATTTGAGAGAGAGAGAGAGCACAAGCAGGGGGGAGGGGTAGAGGGACAAGGGAGAAGCAGACTCCCAGCTGAACAGGGAGCCTATCTCCCTACAGTGGGACTCGATCCCAGGACACGGGGATCATGACCTGAGCAGAAGGCAGACACTTACCCAACTGAGCCACCCAAGCTCCCCTAATTCCCTATTTTTAAAAAGAGTAGCCAACTTTGGTGATTCATGGTCGTCGATGATATAACAATGCCGTCAAGAAGTTAACAACATTAGATAATCATTTTTTAAAAATATTATCTGCTCAAAAAAAGAAAAAATCATCTGCTCCATTTGTTCCCTCCAACCATCATACCAGGACTTTCTGCCAGTCACGCACACTCAGCGAGAACTGGCATGCTGTCTTCCCTCTGTACTAATGGAGGTATAGTTTGGCAGCAAAGTCCAAATTACTCAGTGGTAGCATCTGGCATATTCAGAAAAAATATGAAAAGGAAAACTACAGATCCCGTGCTGAGTCAGTCCAACCTCCAGGCAAATACCAATATCCATGTCAGGGTACCATCAAGGCGGTTACTTATAGCTAAAGGTGGCAGGCACTTGAGAAAGGGGAGCATGGAAGGGAGAAGGAGGGTTAGGGTCCAAAGAATCACTACTGTGTTGGGGTTTCTTTCAATCGCAAACCAAGACATTAACATAAAAATCACTCTCAAACTAGGGAAGCCTATAAGACCTTCATAGGCAAACTTAAAACCACCCCACAAGGCTGCCTTCATAACCCAGGGCATAGAAGACATCCATTCCACAGGAGGCAAGTTCATGCTTAAAAATGTGTCATGCCCAAAGATAAAAATCACCATGGCAGTAGACAACACAAATAAATTCCCATATGACGAACCTACATCTGAAAGAATTTAAATAAATATGAAAACTTTCCAGAAAATAAGGGAAATTTCTGCAACAGGCCAAATCAATATTTCTGGATCCATGGCAGTTTTGTCCGTCAGGGGATATTTGATAAAGACATGTCACATTTTTGGTCATCAGGCCAGGGATGGTGCTGAACACCCTTCAATGTACATCCTCCACAACAAAGAATCATCCAAGTGCAGACACCAAGAGTGCCAAGATTAAGAAACCCTGCGCTAGATAATCTGAAAAAACTTGCTGTAACAGACACTCACATGAATTTATAAATTTACTAGAAGTCTAATCAAAAACTTAAAAATGATTTGCCATGGACTGTGGCAAGCTGATTTTAAACCTAGGTGAAGGAGGAGGAGAAGGTTCAAAATAGCCAATACAAGTTTTATTTTTTCTTAAGATTTTATTAATTTATTTGACAGAGATCACAAGTAATCAGAGAGGCAGGCAGAGAGAGAGAGGGGAGCAGGCTCCCCACTGAGCAGAAAGCCCAATGTGGGGCTTGATCCCAGGACCCTGGGATCACGACCTGAGCCGAAACGCAGAGGCTTTAACCCACTGAACCACCCAGGCGCTCCGCCAATACAAGTTTTAAGAACAACCAGTTGGAGGAAGGTGCCTTACCAGACATGAAGGTTTTATACAAATATAATATGGTACCGGCATACATAATAGAGCAGCCAATACACAGGTGAGAACTCAGAAATCAGCCCACACACAGAGGACTGAGGGGGTCCTGCCAATCAACAGAGAAAGGACACGGACATTCAAAAATGGTGCTGGGACAACTGCTTATTCAATACATATAGGGGGGAAATAGGGATCCTTTCCTCACATCATTTATAAGTCAATTCCACTTGTACTAAAGCTCTGGATATGAAAGTCTAAATGAAAATCTATAACCTCCAATTACAAAAAGATTTTGTAAGACGTAAAAAGCAGGCATCCTTTTAAAAATGGAAGAGATTAAGGGGCACCTGGGTGGCTCAGTGGGTTAAGGCTCTGTCTTCAGCTCAGGTCATGATCTCAGGGTCCTGGGATCGAGCCCCACATCGGGCTCTCTGCTCAGCAGGAGCCTGCTTCGCCCTCTCTCTGTCTCTGCCTGCCTCTCTGCCTACTTGTGATCTCTGTCAAATAAATAAATAAATCTTAAAAAAAAAAAAAGAAAGAAAGAGATTAAGCACAGACAGAGAAGACAAATGCATCCTATTTACTTAACAAAAAATTTGTATCCAGAGTAGAGACAGAATTTCTGCAGGGGCACCCAGCTGGCTCAGTCAATAGAGCATGTGGCTCTTGATCCAGGGCTGTGGGTTCGAGCCCCTCACTGGGCATAGCGATTACTTAAAAATAAAATCAGAAAGGAAGGAAGGAAGGAAGGAAGGAAGGAAGGAAGGAAGGAAGGAAGGAAGGAAGGAAGGAAGGATGGATAGAAAGAAAGAAAGAATTTCTGCAAATCAATGAGTATAAGACAAGCAACCCAAAGGCAAAACAGGCAACAGGCACTTCCCAGAAGAAAAAACCCAAATAGCTACTAATGATATGAAAAGATGTTTGAGCCATAAGAGTAGTCAGAGAAATGCAAATTTAAACTATAATGAGGTGGGACGCCTGGGTGGCTCAGTTGGTTGGACGACTGCCTTCAGCTCAGGTCGTGATCCTGGAGTCCCGGGATCGAGTCCCACATCGGGCTCCCAGCTCCATGGGGAGTCTGCTTCTCCCTCTGACCTTCTCCTCACTCAT